CCTCCCCACCCCTTACACTTTGCATCAATAATAAAATCAAGCGAGCATCACGGTAGTAAATAATACTATTCCATAGAGACGAGAAACACAAAACCCTTGACACAAATAGTAAGCCACGCGTTCAAAGCATGGACATTTCTGGGCATTTTGACGGCAATATACATTATGTCTTTTTCTCAGATGGTATGGGACCACAATACCACTTCACCATAATCAATTCACGGTAGAGTGTGCTTTGGAGAATGGAAGATTTTCTCATTAACTTATTGGATTCATTAATTCAGAAAATGAAAGATAATATCTTCCTTTTTATTTGCTTTATTTAAAAGAAAGACATTTTAAAGAAAAAAAGCAAGATCTTTCCTTTCGTTTACAGGTTAGAAAATACAATATTTATTCCTTTTTCTTTTTGCTTGTGAGAGCAATATCTTTTCTTTCGATTTTTTAATTTTTTTAAATTTTGAGAATGCAAGATTTTTCATTTTGATTATTACATTTTCTTTGTACCAGACAAAGACGAGCGATATATGAGTGTGAGCTCCGAACTAACACACTATTGCACAGTCTCTGATTCGGTACAATCGAACGCAGCAACTGTTTCAATGTGTGCAGATTAATCCCTTGGGTTTAATTAATAAACTCATATAAATTAAAATTATTCTACGAATCCATAAAAAGCCAGCTATGTTATGGTCCTACCTGATTGGTCCTTATCTGCCAATGATTGCAGATTGTGAGTCTCATTCATCAGATTTTTACCCTATCCGTACGCTTGTGGTCATTTTGTACCCCAAGAGTTGTATTCTTCACATTTTAGAATACTTCTCTGACGAAGATCTCTTTGAAACTTTCAGTATTTCTCAAAAAAATCATTTTAACAGAGTGTTTATCACCTTCTTGTGAACTGCTATTTCAGGGGTGCCTTGATAGTGGAAGCAGACGATGTACTGTCGAAGCTAGAGAGGTGAGCAGAGTAAACCTGATTCCCTGTAAGGACTTCTCTGTTGACATCCACCCCTAGGCGCTCATATGACCGTATGCAGTTGCGAGCGCAGCAAAACCTTTCATCATCATCATTGCCTTTCTCACCCTGGATCAGGATATAGGCCACAAACAAACACTCTATAACTTTCCCTATCCTGGGCATTTTGCTTGATGTCACTCCACGTCTTTCCACTTTTCTGTTCGTTCATTTCCGTGACTCTTCTCCAGGTCACTTGTGAACTCTTTCCTGCTTCATACATGGTGCGAACATTCCACGACGCAATCCGGAGAGACTTGTTCGACAGAGAAGGTTTCAGGTCAGAAGAGTCCTTTCGGCTTTGTCCGCTGTCCTTCATTGTTCCTGCTGATGCAGAAGCACCTCCGTCTCCCAAGATGGAAAAAATTATAAGGCATGTTTATTCGTGTTTCTATAACTTTCCTTTTTTACAGGGTCGGGTAGTTGGCCCTCCGCGAACTGTCACTTTTCTTTAGTCTTAGTAGATGTTTTACGGCGCTCACAACTGCATAAGGTCATATGAGCGCCAGAAGATTAGAGGTGTTACAAGAGAGTAACAAACATAAAAAAGAAGAAGGGGAGATAAGGACGATACATGTTTGAAAGGAAAGAAGAAGCAAACCACACCAGAGCACCCGCCAACCACCCACTCACTTTTCTGGTGGTCAGACCTATGCTCCTTTTTCTCCTCTTACGACACGCAGTATCACGGCAGGTGTATTCTTTAGTCCCTCATAGTAAAACTATGCCCCCACCCCCCCCCCAACCAGCAAGGGCGGAAAACCTGTACTAAAACTAAACTCAGGTGATAATGTAGCCACCATTGGTCTGTGTATTGGTCATGTCAAGAACTGGATGATTGACGATCAGCTTCAACAAAATCAAAGCAAAATCAGTATTTCAGACAGCGTGGTGAAATCAGGCGCCTGTTAAAATAATGAAATTGAAGAAGCTGGCATTTTTTGTTGTTACTTGAGCATAATATGTGAGGCAGCGTGGTGGAATCATGCTCTCGTCAAAATAATCAAAGTGAAGAAACTTGCATTTTTTCGCAGGTTTAGGAATTTTTATCAAATTTTCGTTTTTTGGCTCAAAATCTTTCATGCCCATTAAAGAACTCATTTATGTGTGTATTTTTTTCTTAAAAACGTTGATTGAAGGCACAAGAAATGTTGATTTTCAGTAACCACGGACTCTTAAGCTAAGGAAATAACTAATCTTAATCCTTGACGGCCATTTTCTCATTAATTTTACCTCTGAAAACAGGTGACCCATCTCCTTCATTTGTAAATATTCCGATTTGTATTCAAGATAAATGGATATTTTTTTCATCCTAAATAACACAAGTGAACAATATTTAAGAGGATACCAATAACTCTACATGCCCCTAAATTGACAAGAGCCGGATTCCACCACGCTGCCTCACATATAACAATGTTTAACTCTAACCTTCTGTCTGCCTGCGCCTACAACAGGGGTTAGCCAAACCAGTTTCTCTCCGGGTGGTGATCCTTTCCTCAGCGGTGGGGCCCCGATGCGCTGGAATCTCACACGTTACACAGAAATAAACCGAGGCTCTAACTAGCCTTTTCTCCACCTGAACTCTCAGCAGACCTCCTCTGCCTTGCTACAGCTCTCCCCTCTAAAGTCTAACCTGTAGTAATCCAGACTGCTTTTATACACTTGCACCAAACAATACAACTGAACTGAGACTCACACTTTACTCACTCTGACACTTCCAGCCAAATAATACAATAATAGGCTAGGCCTAACCCCCTGCCACTGACCAACACGCCAGATTGCAAATTAAACAACCAAATAGACCACATTTTTTTCTGCCAGTGTGGCAACTTTTTTAGAATTTATTTTTTTATGTTATTTAACACATTGTTGTCCAATTAAGAACACATTTCTGAGTGGGTTTTTATTGAAAAACGTTGATTAAAGGCACAAAAATGTAAGAAATCAGTTTCCACGAACCATCTTGCTAATTCTACCTTAGTAACCAGCTCCCCCCCCCCCCTCCTTCTTCAATCTGAAATATCTTGACCTCTATTCAAGATAGATGGGCATTTTTTCACACATAGCAAGACCATTGAACAAGCTTTAAGACGACACCAATACTTCCACATGCTCAAAAATTGACGAGCGCCTGATTCCAACACTTCATGACACAGAAGTATTTTTATGTAACCCAAAGAAAAGTCATATAATAAAACACCCATTGACCAAGAGGTCATTAAATGTTCAGAAATAAAACACCCTTACTTTTTAATGATAAGGCGAAAGAAAGAAAATGGGAATTGATTTTTATTCAGAATAGT